AATGACGTTACGCGCTCATAGTGACTCTAGTCTGAAAATGGGTCGTCATGAGCGATACGTGATTTGCGCGAAAAAATAGGAACGCGTATAAAAAGGTTGAAAGTCGTCGAAAGTAATCTATTCGAAAGGTCACCAGCAGAGTTACATAATAATTAAATTTATATTACAAATAAGTATTACAGCAGCAATCAAAATTAATACAACATACTGAAAATGTGTTTTGAATTCTTCCGCTATATATCCAGTGATAACTTTTCCTACAAAACTTTCAATTCGAAGTTTTTTTCTCTAATTTTCTTCTCTTTATAATCATAATTAAAGTGACATACAAATAAGTACCCTCTTCATTTTCTTCGTCGCTTGAAGATGAATGAATTACAAAACATCTTCCGAATCCTCGAATACAATTTCCATGCATTGTAATAATGTAGCTGTTGAATATCTATTATTAAAAATGTTAAATGTTCACACTTTTTGCTGCTCTGCACGGGTGGATTCGTCGTGTTTTTAATCTATCCTTTAAGGTTAAGAATTACACTTATAATAATCACAAGCGGCTCGAAATAAAATCATTGTTAGCGCGTTCACATTTCGGATCGATCATAAATCTCGTGAGCATTATTAGCGTCATGAGCATATTTCGGACCACAGTCCCAGTTTTGGACATTGTGCTGTCTGGGATACGACTGAATTCTTTTTGAACTCTCTCTTTTTTTGAATTCTTTGTGCTATCTTACACAGTACTTAACAGTACTTAACTTTGTGGTACTTACACAGTACTAAACTATATTAAGGAAAAAATACTTAAATATCCCTTAAATAAATTTTCAAGTATTTTTAATTAATTAAATTAAATTTAATTAAATTTAAACATATCAAGAACGCGTAGCTATATAAAATTAATCAAGCTACGTATAAATCTCCCTTTTCTTTTCTTATTGAAGACACTCCCTTTATAGAAATATCATTGATAATTACTTATTTTCAGTATTAAAAATACTGGATAATAAGTAATTATCAATGATTCTTAGTATATTTCTATAAGGGTCAGCACAGAGAATTAAAAAAAAAATTCAAAAAGAATTCAGTCACGCGTATGTTATCAATTCTGAGTTCATTTTCAGATGCAAAAAAGAATTCTTCAGAGTTCAGTTCAATAAAAAGAGAATTCTTTTTACATCTAAAAATGAACTCAGAATTGGTGACGTACGACTTCTTTTTGAATTCTCTGTGCTATCTGGGAATTTCATAAATTGCACATCCCTACTCAAACCGCGCGCGTACCCTCCTCCTTCCTCCACCGTCTCCTCCTAGCGGACGTCTATCGACCGACGCGGCGATAGCGTTGGCGTCGACGGTGGCACCCCTCAACCAGCGCCCGTGCACGGGGAAATGGCGGCTGCATAGCCGACGACGCACCGTCCTCACCGCAGCCGTTTTGTGTGGCGCGCGCGCGCGACGTCGAGTCACGACGGGACGAGAAGGACCGATCATACGGGGCGAGCGTGACGACGATGGCAATGTCGAATCTCTACTCGAAGATCTCCACCAAGCCGATGAAGCGCTTTCAGGACAACGTTGCGGTCAAGCAGACCAATGCCTGGGTGAACGGTGAGAAAAAGACCGACGGGTATAGGTAGATAAGGACAGATCGCGTTTGTCGGGCAAATCCGCTATTTATACTTGGTTCTCTTGCGGAGAGAGAATCCGCGAGAGGTGAAGGACCTCGGGAAGTCGCCGATCGCGCGCGATATCCGTCCCGACCTCTCTCCGCGGGACCGCGCCAGAAATCTATATTTTCTGGGAACGCAATTTCGCAGGCAGCAGAACAGCGATTCGCGTGCCTTCGCCTATTTATTTGCGCGCCTCGTGACTCGGGCGCGGGAGGAACATCGGACGATAACCCCTGGATCCATAAAAATAAAGACGCCCAAGACCACACGTCGTCCACCAGCTGGAGAGTTGTGCGAGTAAAGATTCTTCGTCGCGCCAAACGATATCTCGATCTCTCAAAATTATGCCGTTTTCGGTACCGCTGCCTGACGCAACGAGGCGACCGATATTCAGCGTTATTTTCCGCCGACTGTCGTTGACTTTTGAATCCAGCCGCCGCGCACTTTCAGTTCAATCAGACTCGAAGGTTCGCAAGAGAACAATGTAGCGTGTAAAATCGCTATCGACAAATTGATCGTGTGTCGATATTTATTATACGCGACATAATCTATGCACGTGCAGCGCGACAATAATTTGACTCGAGCCACGTTCGTCTCTTCCGTAAACTTCGGCTGAGACGAGAGTGGTTCGTGTTCAGCGATTGACGGAAGATCTCTGGGCGATCTCCTGTCAGGATGTTCCACCGCGATTCGCTCCAATCTCGCCGACGTTCAAGATTCTATATTGATTTGCGCATTTGTTTACGTCGCGTCCTCGTGCGAGCGCGCTCGTCGTGTGACGCGGTTGCACTCGTTGCTGCGTCACGTGCGTCACGAAGTGCGAACGGAGATGCACGAGCGGAAACCGAGTAAAGGTCAGTACACACACACGCACACACAGTGCGTGATCAGTGAGGTGCGTCGCGCGTCGGTTGTGTCGCGCGTCGGTTGTGTCGCGCGTTTTTCGGCGTTCAACGGAATATCGTTGCTACGGTGATAAATTGAACGTCAGCGTATTCCTCGTAGCAGCTCAAGGCCCATGTTCTGAGCATCGATCATAAATCCTCTCACGTGACCCCGATCTTATCGATCTAGTATGAAATCACGAAAAGTGAATAATTTTGCGGTACCTCGGGAGACGATCACGAACCTCTTCTTATAAACTTGTAAAAAAATTAACATCTCCATATGTATCTTCAAGGTTAGATTTTTACCTCACGAGCTCACATCAGTGGAAAAGATTCGTAATTGATTCTCGATATTTATCGTTAAAAGCACCTCGTGACTCCTTCTGATTGACTGTAAGCCACTTTTGGGCCCAAGTGTTGGCAGAAAAAATTACGAGTCGCGCGTTGCTGATGCGCGTGTGTGAATAAACCTTACGAATCTCGATTTTTCCGAGCAAAACCGCAGACGGGTATTCAAACGCGGACGAGATCGCACGCGCTATGCCATCGTGACACAGGAATCAAGCCATCCCG